TTTTCATATCTAGGTGAAATCTAGAAATCTACGTTTTACCCGATTTCTTACACATAGAAGCTATGCAAGTTTTATAATAATAAAAAACGTCTTTACATTTCGAAATCTATTGCAAAATGTTGACCACACACTTATTCGTAATGATGAAGTCAGATAACAGATATCAGATAACAGATAACAATAACAGATAACATTTATCACACACATGTAAAGGACCATCTGGTGGGGTGGGGAAGTTTACCTTTATAGAGAAGTTTACCTTTATACTTTACTTAGTGTGAGCGAAGAGGGGGTGGGGGTGGGTGGTGATGTTTTTTTTTTCCCGTTTTAGCTTGAATAAAAGCGAAAGTTGTTTTAGTTTCCGGTCTAGGGCTGTTGTTTTATTAAATAGGGCGGTATTATTGTTGTGCCAGCAGTTTTATGTTTCAAACTGTTTTTTTACATATATTGTTATCATTGAATTTATATAGTATTGCTATTTTGTTTTTACTTTTTTTCGTGTAACATTTTTGTTATGATTTTTAAAGATTTATTTCTAAATAAAGTTTGAAGAAGTTGATTTTCTTTTTTTTTATTAGGTTAAAGTTATGAGATAGCTGCCGTGGGTTTAACCACCCCCCCCCTCGATAATTTAAAGCCAAATAAGTGTTAGTCAAAGGCAGAAGCGTAGCGGGGGGTGGGGGGGGGCGGGGGGTGCGGACCGCACGGGTGACACCATTTAGGGGGGTGACACCAAGGCAAAAAATAGCAACACATATAAATACATAGAGAAAAACTTGAGGGTGGGGGGGTGCGAATCGAAAGTTTGAAAGTTTGTCCCCGGGATGGGTCGCTACCATTAAGTGCCGCACCGGGTGACACCCGACCTCGCTACGCCACTGGTCAAAGGGCAAGGTAATTAACTAACAAAATTAAACATATTAACGGTCACATTGTGAGTTTAACCTATCTGGTGGCTACGAGTATGTGTAGATTTTCTATATGCTAGAGCGATGGTTAAGGTTAGATATCTGTAGGTATAGCCGGGTTTGTGACCGAATCAGAACAATCTATTTATTTTAAAGGTTGATTCTACCGTATACAATCAGTAATCAGTGTTTCTTCCAGACTTTTTTCTCCGGGGGGGGGGGGGGGGGGGGGTAGGGGGAAGGCACTTGAAATTTTCGGGGGGGGGGGCGGTAGAATTTTTTCGGAGGGGGGGGCGAATTCCCCCCGAAGAGATGCCTGGAAGAAACTCTGTATACGATGACAAACTATCAATAGTTTGCTTTAATGTTAAGTAAATATATCTCTAGCCAGATCAGAAGCTAAGCACATCACTATGGAATGTTCTTGTACTTTCATTTAATTAAAAGCTCATTATGACTCTTGCAAGTACGAATCTAGATACCGTACTGATCGTATAAGTGCGATACCGAGTGTCAGGAAAATATTAACTTGAACAACGGGCAGTGGCGTCAGAATGCGATGGCGTGGAGTGGGGGACACCATCCTAGGGGATGATTATACAGGGAAATATTTTAGTCTTCTTCTTCTTCGTTCTTAATTGTAATATTGGAAGTATTACATGTTATCTTGTTATGCGCAATATGGGTAATTGATTCTGATTTCACCCTGTTTTTAAAAGTTTTTATTTAACTCACTTCCTCTGTCGTCAGTCTGTCTAGATCGAAACGCCCGTGGAAATTGCAGGCACTTCTAACTGACAGATACGGTTAGTAGTTGGTACGTGGGTTTATTTTTTACTTTATTTTTTTTTATTTATTAATTATTATTTTTAAAATTAGTTTTAACAGCGTTTATCAATCTCACAACAAACCATAAGACAGCAATTGTTTGATTTTAGACCTTTATATCATAGAATAGATGATGACCTCAGCTATCGAGCCTCATCTGCCCGGGGGTTCGAACTCGGGACTTTTCAGTTTACCTTACCGACTCGATCACGATGGCCCCTATAATTCTAATGAGAAGCTTAATGTTCCAGTTAGTTTAATAGCTTGTTTAAGTGAGATATATTATTAGGCACTGTGTGACATCATACGGAACGAATGGAGGCATCAATGTACCCTCAGAGTATGAGATACATACAGTCGATGGCGGAGACGGGGTGACAACCTTGGTTACCAAACGGTGTGTCACCCGACCTTGTGACGCCACTGTTAATGATCCATCTGAACCCACTAACCAGGAATAGCGCTCTATCACCCGACCACACCATTATTAAAAAAAAAATCTGTTCTCTCTTTTCCTGTCTATTATTCCACAAGAAATTTTATTTTAAATAATTGCTTTCAAACAATGTAATTAATAAATAGGACACTAATTAATTTTCGACTCATCTGCAAATAAACTAAACGCCGTCGTCTTCATAAATGTCAAAATAAAGCCAAATCGAGATTCCATCGTGAATATATCATAGTTAGGTCAGATTCAAGATATCGGTTAAGATCAGGACTAGGTTTAACGAGTATTTCTTCCAGACTTTTTTCTCCGGGGGAGCACTTGAAATTTTCGGGCGGTAGTAGACTTTCTTCGGGGGGGATATATATTTTCTATATAAATTTCATTTCGCTCGGGGGGGGGGGGGGGGGACAGACTTTCTTCCCCCCCCCCCCCCCCCGATGAGATTCATGGAAGAAACTCTGGGTTTAACTTTAGTGTAGGGGTACTCCCAAACCAATAGATTCAATGTAAATGGTGTCGACATTAGAATATTTACCAAACATCATTAGTCGTCTGCGTGTGTTTCACCCCAGGCTAGACCACGCCCCTCTGCTACACTCCATCATGACGTAAATTAGCAGGCCTACCCTCCCTCTCCCCCCTCCCCTCCCCACGCTAATCATCGGCCTAAATATCATGTTTATACCTAACGAAATGTCACGGCTCAGTTTGGTGCAAATACGTAACTCATTATGTAAGACGAGCTTTCTATTGTAATCTATCGTGATACATACGTAGCGAATTTTTTTCCCTCTGTATTTCTGAGTGGGATGAAATTTTTGCTCAATACAAAAGAATGTTTTTCATTTTGATACAATCAGTTAATTGTCTAAACTATGTGTGGCTATTTTTCTCACTGTATGACTCTTAGTCCTTTTTCTCATTTTCTCTCTTTGTATCTTTGTCTCCCACTCTCCTTCTCAAATTTTCACCGCCTATCTCCTGTTATCTTTCTCTTCCTTACTTACTATCCATGTCTCTATCCCCATCTGTCTGCCTCTCTTATTCTCACACCATCTCAATCTCTCTCAGTCTCTATCTCTATCATTCTGTCACCACTCTCTCTCTCATTCCGTCTCTCCCTCTATCTACACACCTCCCCCCTCTCCGCTTACCCCAGTTGTATTGTGTAAGTGCATGACACAAATGTTAAACGGTAGCACATGTAACCAGTACAACACACCAGGAGCGACTAGCTCTCGAAGGTCTGGGGTTTGCAACCTTAACAGCAGACAATGTGTGCACACGTCGGTAAACTATTCAATGGCGGGACATTGTCGTCTGGCTGATGGGACATTTAGATGGCCAAACTTGGATAATTGTCTAGCTGATGGGACATTTATATGGCCAAACTTGGACATACGTCTAGCTGATGGGATATTTACATGGCCAAACTTGGATGATTGTCTAACTGATGGGACATTTAGATGGCCAAACTTGGATGATTGTCTAACTGATGGGACATTTAGATGGCCAAACTTGGATGATTGTCTAACTGATGGGACATTTAGATGGCCAAACTTGGACATACGTCTAGCTGATGGGATATTTACATGGCCAAACTTGGATGATTGTCTAACTGATGGGACATTTTGATGGCCAAACTTGGACATACGTCTAGCTGATGGGATATTTATGGCCACACAATAACAACCTTTACCATAACCCTAATCTTCACCCTTATCCTTACCTCTAAGTTTTACACAGGTAGATAAAGTAGAGTAAATATTTCTTTTCTGTCAAAAAATGTAATGTACTGAAAAATGTCATGACTTGTCTAGCCGGGAATAGAACTCGAGTCTTTAGCATTAGTCATCAACCGCTCGAATTACACCACCATAACCTACATACACAGTTTTTAAACCGTTTGTAACTAGTGCACTTCGTTGTTTTAAAAAAAACAACAACATAAAAGTTGATTCCACTAAAAATAACGGGACAAATCAGAGTCGGGTCGTCCGCATTTTTGAAAGAGAAAAATTTTAAACAATGTTATCACACTTAGAGAAGGCAGGAGAAGGGAGGAGAAGGGAGAAAAGAGGAAGATGTTACACAATCTTTGTCTCAATCAGTGTTTCTTTCAGACTTTTTTCTCCGGGACGGCAGTTGATATTTTCATGTGTGTGTGGGGGGGGGGGGGGGAGGTAGACAAACTTTTCCTGGGGGGAGAGGGGCGGAGACTCGTAAAAGTGTATATTTTCTACATAAATTCCATTTCGTTCAGTGGGGGGGGGGGGGGGGGGCGGTAGACTTTCTTCTGGGGGGGGGGGGAGTAACCCATCTCCCCTTCCCTGAAGAGATGCCTGGAAGAAACTGTTGTCACACTTAGAATGAGTGTTTCTTGGTTATTAAAATGGATGTCTAAATATTTGGGAGGTTCGATATATTTAAAATGATGTGTAATTTAAAAAAGAAACATGGATTTAGTCAATATAACCAATGTATTAATCTACAATCATAATCTAGCTTTTTTATTTTAAAAACATCAATTAATACCTTAACGAAGCGTATGCATAGACTTAAAGTTAAATAGCTGTATGCAATAAAATGATAATTGATTATTACTTCCTTTTTTAAAGATAACGTCATTGATCAGAACAGTAAACCATGCTCAAGGTTATTTTTATTTTCACGTTCATTCCGTTTACAGCAATAAAGTTTAATTTTTTTTCGAGCAAATGCATACACAAAAATTAACACATGATGTTCAGTATTACAGTAAATAAAAACAAAAAACCTACATAAGATGGGTAACGAATGCTGAATGTACAAACCTGTATCCAGCTAAACACATCCAAGCAAGACACTTCAGTGTGAGCGCTCACGACCTTCTACACAGGGGGAAACACACACAGCACACACGTCTAACCTACTCCTGCCTTGACCCCCGCTTCCACAGCGCTGGGAGAGTCTACAGGCACTGGTACCGCATTCTTACCTATACTGTAAGACGGTGTTTCTACACCTCGCAAAGGGGAGTAATATTTACCTGCTGCAAGGGGAGATTACTGGGATAATAAGGTTTTAAAATACATTTAAAATTGACTCAATTAATTCAAAGTGTTATGAGCGCTGATTAAATTTTAAAACGATTACGTTAGAATTTTGTCATTTGGCACAATTGTTCTTATTGAACATTTGATTTTGGTTTATCTTTATGAAACAAAATTGCGTTTCAACATTTGTAAGTTTTCATTCAATGGTTATAAGTTTTAAAGTATCTGAATTCTAAAAATAAAAATCTTTTAATATTTTATTTTGTATCAACACTTATTTAAATTGATACTTCATTTTAAGAAGTAAACATTTTTTAACTTAACGAAAATAAGTTATGAAAAAGTATTTCTTGCAGACAATTTTAGTTATTACTTCCCTTATACAACTAAAGTAGGTAATTTTCTAGAATGGTGTATTGTTTTGATACAGTCAGTATAATTTATGTTAATTAGTTAATTGACGCATTATATAAATACAATCAACTTTTTTTTGCTTTGATATTTTTTATTTTATCAATGTTTTGAGATATAGGCCTATAAGGGTACCAAAAATGAGTACCTGAGTAATTTTAGGGAAGGTAAAGGTGGCTGGTCATAATGCTGACCACAACATCCCTTCGTATAATGAGGTCACAAAAACGTATGAACCCTGCTTCGCCTGTTCCATAGATAGTACGATTAGAATGCGTACTTTACTTTACATTTATATACGTCTATTTTTTTAGTGGTCCATACATTTAGTTCATATAGGCCTAGATCTACTGATTTGCAAACCTTCAGTTAGAACAATATTTCCTTTTACTTTTTAATTACGGGACTTTTAATTACGAGACGAATATTTTATCCTCCAGTAAAGTTTAGAACACCCAACGACTAATTATGTGTCTTTATATTAATCTCATCTAATTAAGAGCAAACATTAAGTGGTACAGTTTAAAGATTAATAATTATTTTCGTCTTCTGAGTATTGTATTTCTACATCAGCGAACTCGAAGTTAGGCATATTTATATACATCAAAGCTCTTAACAAGCCTAGTTAAAATATCGTGTTCGTCTTTACCAGAAGCAGTTGTATTGCTACCTCTAACATAGTTAAAATATCGTGTTCGTCTTTTTAACTCAGAAGCAGTTGTATTGCTACCTTCAGCCTAGTTGAAATATCATGTTCGTCTTTACCAGAAGCAGTTGTATTGCTACCTCCAGCCTAGTTAAAATATCGTGTTTCTCTTTACCAGCAGAGTTGTATTGCTACCTCTAGCCTTGTTAAAATATCTAGTTCGTCTTTACCAGAACCAGTTGTATTGCTACCTCCAGCCTAGTTAAAATATCGTGTTTCTCTTTACCAGAAGCAGTTGTATTGCTACCTCTAACATAGTTAAAATATCGTGTTCGTCTTTACCAGAAGCAGTTGTATTGCTACCTCCAGCCTAGTTAAAATATCGTGTTCGTCTTTACCAGAACCAGTTGTATTGCTACCTCCAGCCTAGTTAAAATATCGTGTTATTTTTTACCAGAAACAGTTGTATTGCTACCTCCAGCCTAGTTAAAATATCGTGTTATTTTTTACCAGAAACAGTTGTATTGCTACCTCCAGCCTAGTTAAAATATCGTGTTATTTTTTACCAGAAACAGTTGTATTGCTACCTCCAGCCTAGTTAAAATATCGTGTTATTTTTTACCAGAAACAGTTGTATTGCTACCTCTATCATAGTTAAAATATCGTGTTCGTCTTTACCAGAAACAGTTGTATTGCTACCTCCAGCCTAGTTAAAATATCGTGTTATTTGTTACCAGAAACAGTTGTATTGCTACCTCTATCATAGTTAAAATATCGTGTTATTTTTTACCAGAAACAGTTGTATTGCTACCTCCAGCCTAGTTAAAATATCGTGTTATTTGTTACCAGAAACAGTTGTATTGCTACCTCTATCATAGTTAAAATATCGTGTTCGTCTTTACCAGAAACAGTTGTATTGCTACCTCCAGCCTAGTTAAAATATCGTGTTATTTGTTACCAGAAACAGTTGTATTGCTACCTCTATCATAGTTAAAATATCGTGTTCGTCTTTACCAGAAGCAGTTGTATTGCTACCTCCAGCCTAGTTAAAATATCGTGTTTCTCTTTACCAGCAGAGTTGTATTGCTACCTCTAGCCTTGTTAAAATATCTAGTTCGTCTTTACCAGAAGCAGTTGTATTGCTACCTCTAGCCTAGTTAAAATATCGTATTCGTCTTTAACAGAAGCAGTTGTATTGCTACCTCTAACATAGTTAAAATATCGTGTTCGTCTTTACCAGAAGCAGTTGTATTGCTACCTCCAGCCTAGTTAAAATATCGTGTTCGTCTTTACCAGAAGCAGTTGTATTGCTACCTCCAGCCTAGTTAAAATATCGTGTTCGTCTTTACCAGAAGCAGTTGTATTGCTACCTCTAGCCTAGTTAAAATATCGTGTTCGTCTTTACCAGAAGTATTGCTACCTCTAACATAGTTAAAATATCGTGTTCGTCTTTACCAGAACCAGTTGTATTGCTACCTCTAGCCTAGTTAAAATATCGTGTTCATCATTACCAGAAGCAGTTGTATTGCTACCTGCAGCCTAGTTAAAATATCGTGTTCGTCTTTACCAGAACCAGTTGTATTGCTACCTCCAGCCTAGTTAAAATATCGTGTTCGTCTTTACCAGAACCAGTTGTATTGCTACCTCCAGCCTAGTTAAAATATCGTGTTCGTCTTTACCAGAAGCAGTTGTATTGCTACCTCTAACATAGTTAAAATATCGTGTTCGTCTTTACCAGAACCAGTTGTATTGCTACCTCTAGCCTAGTTAAAATATCGTGTTCGTCTTTACCAGAAGCAGTTGTATTGCTACCTCTAACATAGTTAAAATATCGTGTTCGTCTTTACCAGAACCAGTTGTATTGCTACCTCCAGCCTAGTTAAAATATCGTGTTCGTCTTTACCAGAACCAGTTGTATTGCTACCTCCAGCCTAGTTAAAATATCGTGTTCGTCTTTACCAGAAGCAGTTGTATTGCTACCTCTAACATAGTTAAAATATCTAGTTCGTCTTTACCAGAAGCAGTTGTATTGCTACCTCCAGCCTAGTTAAAATATCGTGTTCGTCTTTACCAGAAGCAGTTGTATTGCTACCTCTAACATAGTTAAAATATCGTGTTCATCATTACCAGAAGCAGTTGTATTGCTACCTGCAGCCTAGTTAAAATATCGTGTTTCTCTTTACCAGAACCAGTTGTATTGCTACCTCCAGCCTAGTTAAAATATCGTGTTCGTCTTTACCAGAACCAGTTGTATTGCTACCTCTAGCCTAGTTAAAATATCGTGTTCGTCTTTACCAGAACCAGTTGTATTGCTACCTCTAACATAGTTAAAATATCGTGTTCGTCTTTACCAGAACCAGTTGTATTGCTACCTCCAGCCTAGTTAAAATATCGTGTTCGTCTTTACCAGAAGCATTTGTATTGCTACCTCTAGCCTAGTTAAAATATCGTGTTCGTCTTTACCAGAACCAGTTGTATTGCTACCTCTAACATAGTTAAAATATCGTGTTCGTCTTTACCAGAAGCAGTTGTATTGCTACCTCTAGCCTAGTTAAAATATCGTGTTCGTCTTTACCAGAACCAGTTGTATTGCTACCTCCAGCCTAGTTAAAATATCGTGTTCGTCTTTACCAGAAGCATTTGTATTGCTACCTCTAGCCTAGTTAAAATATCGTGTTCGTCTTTACCAGAACCAGTTGTATTGCTACCTCTAACATAGTTAAAATATCGTGTTCGTCTTTACCAGAACCAGTTGTATTGCTACCTCTAACATAGTTAAAATATCGTGTTCGTCTTTACCAGAACCAGTTGTATTGCTACCTCCAGCCTAGTTAAAATATCGTGTTCGTCTTTACCAGAAGCATTTGTATTGCTACCTCTAGCCTAGTTAAAATATCGTGTTCGTCTTTACCAGAAGCAGTTGTATTGCTACCTCTAACATAGTTAAAATATCGTGTTCGTCTTTACCAGAACCAGTTGTATTGCTACCTCTAACATAGTTAAAATATCGTGTTCGTCTTTACCAGAACCAGTTGTATTGCTACCTCCAGCCTAGTTAAAATATCGTGTTCGTCTTTACCAGAAGCAGTTGTATTGCTACCTCTAGCCTAGTTAAAATATCGTGTTCGTCTTTACCAGAACCAGTTGTATTGCTACCTCTAACATAGTTAAAATATCGTGTTCGTCTTTACCAGAACCAGTTGTATTGCTACCTCCAGCCTAGTTAAAATATCGTGTTCGTCTTTACCAGAAGCATTTGTATTGCTACCTCTAGCCTAGTTAAAATATCGTGTTCGTCTTTACCAGAACCAGTTGTATTGCTACCTCTAACATAGTTAAAATATCGTGTTCGTCTTTACCAGAACCAGTTGTATTGCTACCTCCAGCCTAGTTAAAATATCGTGTTCGTCTTTACCAGAAGCATTTGTATTGCTACCTCTAGCCTAGTTAAAATATCGTGTTCGTCTTTACCAGAAGCAATTGTATTGCTACCTCTAGCCTTGTTAAAATATCGTGTTCGTCTTTACCAGAACCAGTTGTATTGCTACCTCTAACATAGTTAAAATATCGTGTTCGTCTTTACCAGAACCGGTTGTATTGCTACCTCCAGCCTAGTTAAAATATCGTGTTCGTCTTTACCAGAAGCAGTTGTATTGCTACCTCTAGCCTAGTTAAAATATCGTGTTCGTCTTTACCAGAACCAGTTGTATTGCTACCTCTAACATAGTTAAAATATCGTGTTCGTCTTTACCAGAACCAGTTGTATTGCTACCTCCAGCCTAGTTAAAATATCGTGTTCGTCTTTACCAGAAGCATTTGTATTGCTACCTCTAGCCTAGT